ACGTGCTGGGTATTTGGGAGATTTCTGCCGGGTTTTCCACAGGCCGTGGCCACAGCTTTAGACTTGGCCTCATGCACGTGGGTGGGTCTCCTCAGTCTTTTTTCTGGTTATCTTGCTTATTTTTTAATACAACTAGACTTTAAAAAATAGTCTTAAAAACCTAAAAAAGCCCTTTTGATAAATTTTTAACTGGGCTTGCAATTCATATATTGGAGACTGTCTGAACAGCGTTGTGCTTTCCTCACCCCGGCACCGTCCTGTCCGTCCCTTGGAGCACTTTTTTTCCCGTGCGCCCTGTGCTTCCTTTGCCAAGTTCACTTGTGGCTATTTGTAGCAAAGAAGGCCGTCCTTTCCACGGCGTCGCCTCGCTTGCTTGCGGGATGAAGACGACTGATTGCTACATGTTCATTTCTGTTCCCGCCGCCCAGTAGAGTTATCTTGTTTTGGTTTATTATTTCCTTTGTGGCATCAGCATCCCCGAGGGCGGCCAGCTGGGGAGAGGAGGGCAGGGTCAAGATCCTTGAGTTTGTTCCCTGTGTGATAGGAAGAGAATCTCTTGCTGTGGCTGCTGCCAGAGGCAACACATGCAGTTTATAACAGGTCCACCTGCCCCAGGCCAGAAGCTCCGCCACTCTCCCTGAGCCGGCCCTCAGAGGCTGCCCTGCCTGTGGCCTGGGGCCCTCAGCTTCTCCTCCAGAGCACATGGCTGGGGCCTCTGATGTTTGAGTGCCTCAAAAGACACCTGGTGGTGAGGAAGGTGCTTTGGGGGCCACAGCAGGCAGCCTCACACTCTCCTGGGAAGGCGCCTCTGGAGGACGCAGCTGGGGCAGCCTCGCACCCTGTTCCTGTTCATCAGTCCCTCGTGAAAATTCTCTGACTTGGTGCTCACGGCGCTGTCCTGGCTTCAGTTCACTGGTTATCGGTTATTGTGAAATTAAAGCCATAGCCCCACAGAGTCCCAATTCAGCTCCAGACAAGCCGGCCCCCAGCGGGCCTTGCATGGGAGCCTGTGGCCCTCGGGCTGTCCCAGGACCCAGGCAGCACGGTGGACGGAGGGAGGAGGCCTGGGAAGAGTGTAGGCTGTGTTCCCGGGCGCCCCTGAAGAGCCTCTGCTTCCATTTCTTTCCTTTCCCATGGACACATCCGGGCTCTCCACGGCTGAACACTCCCGTCCTGCCCTAGCGGCCGTTTGGTGCTTGGATTTCTCGGCTCCTGTGGCCCATGGGTTTCCCCAGGAAGGTCAGGTCCCCACAGGCTGTGGCCCAGGCAGCGGTCACTGAGCCCCGGCTACCAGGATCCCCACCCCCGCCACAGGGAGCGTCCCCTCGCCCTTCCCTCAGACGGATAGGGCCCTGGTCCTTGCCTGTCACCACCCAGGGAAAGGCCCTAGCTGCCGGCACTGGCTTCAAATTCCAGCCACAGCCATGGCTGCTCCCTCCTGTCCTTCAGTGCAGTCATGGGCCGAGCTGAGATAAACTTCACCTCCTGAACTCTCTGCAGGCGCCAGTGCCCAGGGCATGACCAGCCAGACCACCGACTCCCTAGGCCCAGCTTGCGGGATGAGGGTCAGAGAAGTGGGTGCCCGTCAGGGAGCTGGGCGGGGTCAGGGAGGTGGGTGCCCTCTGGGGCCTGCAGAGGTTTCTGTCTCTGTTGGTTTCCCTGCTGTGTGGAGGAAATTCCACAGACATCTGCTGGGCACCAGCTGAGTGTCCACCCCTCAGATGTGGTTCCGTCCTCACATCGTAGAGGTATCAGTACATGCCCAACAGGGAAATAAATGAGTTGGGGGAGGCCCCGGGGTAGGCGGCCATGAGACTGGGGACCACTTAAGAGCTGGGCACCCGGCAGGAGCAGGCACTTTCCTCAGCCTCACTGTCCTCAGCCTCGCTGTCCCTCAGCCTCACTGTCCTCAGCCTCGCTGTCCCCCAGCCTCGCCGTCCCTCAGCCTCGCCGTCCCTCAGCCTCACTCCTCAGCCTCACTGTCCTCAGCCTCGCTGTCCCTCAGCCTCGCCGTCCCCAGCCTCGCCGTCTCTCAGCCTCGCTCTCCCTCAGCCTCGCCGTCCCCAGCCTCGCTCTCCCTCAGCCTCGCCGTCCCCAGCCTCGCTCTCCCCCAGCCTCGCTCTCCCTCAGCCTCGCTCTCCCTCAGCCTCGCTGTCGCTCAGCCTCGCTGTCCTCAGCCTCAGGGACACAGGTCTTTCCAAAGGGCGTTCCAGGCAAAGTCAGGACTAGGTTCCCAGTCCTTCACATCACATGGGCAGGTGTCCACTTCTGAAATGACTTTAGTCTCTAACCAAACGTTGTAAGTGGCAGCGCACAGCATCCCTCCACAGTGGGGGCCTCTTGAGGGTCAGGTTCTGGTGCCAGAGGGTTGGGCCCTGCACAGGCCGCCTGCCCTGCATGTGTCTGACTCCCTCCTGCCCCCAGAGCCTCTTCATCTGAGGCCAGAGTGGCGAAGTGGACGCGCCCCTCGTTTCTCTAGTTCAGGCTGGACCTCCCCCTTCCAGGCCCTGCTGTGATCACATTGACGTCTCCAGACGTCCTGCGGACACAGCACCTAGGTAGAGCCGGGCCATGGCAGGGTCAGGGATGGGGCCCCGGCCGGCTCCTGGTGGCTGTGCTGATGCCGAATCCCTGGTCCTGGTCCTTGTTTCCTCAGCCCCAGCCCCTGTGTGCTTCAGAGTAGAAGGCATTTATAGCGACCTGCTGAAAATAGCGTCTTAGAAATACTTCGAGACGCGAGCTCTGTCCACACCTGCAAGTGTTCTGTTGGCAGTCATTTGTGCAAAACAAGCAAACTGGAGGCGTATGGAGGAAACTGGGGGGCAGATGGAGGAAACTGTGAGGTTTACAGAGGAAACTGAGGCGTATGGAGGAAACTGAGGCGTATGGAGGAAACTGAGGCATATGGAGGAAACTGCGGTGTACGGAGGAAACTGTGAGGCGTATGGAGGAAACTGAGGCGTATGGAGGAAACAGGTGTATGGAGGAAACTGAGGCGTATGGAGGAAACTGAGGCATAGGGAGGAAACAGGTGTATGGAGGAAACTGAGGCGTATGGAGGAAACTCAGACGTATGGAGGAAACTGAGGTGTATGGAGGAAACAGGTGTATGGAGGAAACTGAGGCGTATGGAGGAAACTGAGGCATAGGGAGGAAACAGGTGTAACTGAGGCGTATGGAGGAAACTCAGACGTATGGAGGAAACTGAGGTGTATGGAGGAAACAGGTGTATGGAGGAAACTGAGGCGTATGGAGGAAACCGAGGCGTATGGAGGAAACTGAGGTGTACAGAGGAAACTGTGAGGCGTATGGAGGAAACGCTATGAGGCATACGGAGGAAACTGGGGTGTACGGAGGAAACAGGCATATGGAGGAAACTGTGGGGTGTACAGAGGAAACTGAGGCATGAGGAAGAAACTGTGGGGTGTACGGAGGAAACTGAGGCATGAGGAGGAAACTGGGGCATACGGAGGAAACACTGTGAGGTGTGCGGAGGAAACACTGAGGCATGCGGCGAAGCATCGCAGGAAGAAGCCAGTGTGGTTGGGCAGCTTTCCCAAGAAGTCTGGGACTTGTGTCCGGGCCTGTGGTGAGCTCGGTGCCTGGACCCGCCTGGGAGGACAGGGGCTGTGTCTGTGCTGGCCACAGGCAGTGACTGGATGAGCTGGAGGAACGCAGCTGCGTGAACCACAGACCCGCCTGCCGCTCACCCTGGCACCAGGCACCAACCAGTGCAGGTGGGAGGGAAGCAGCTCCTGCACTGACAGCCGAGCCGGGACCCTCTGTTGGAAACGCCACGTTCCACGGACCTGGTGGGAAGCGTCACCTTGGGAGCCTCAGGAACAGAAGCGACACGCCGGCAGTGAGATCCCATCCGTTGAAGACTCGATGTGCCCCCACCAGAGCTGACCCCCTCAGGATGGCGCTGGCCGAGTGCTCTGGGGCCCCGCTGGCCCGGCCTGCGCTTTTCCCAGGGACTGGTCCTTATTGAACTTGTGTGGAATCGATGGACAGGAGCCTCTCTCAGCCAGCGGGGGCCCTACCCAGGGTTCCCCACGGAGCCGTGTGTGGCTGAGCTGAGCGTGGCTGAGTCCTCGTGTGGGGCAGAGCCGAGCGTGGACCGCGCCCCTGAGCACTGCCACGCCCAGCCCTGAGCTGCTGCTGCTCGGCCCGCGGCAGCCGTGAAAGGGTTCTTTGAGCTCGGGGCGTAATTGTGGTTCTTCCTGCCAACTTCCTGGGGCTCAGGCTTGCGTAACCGCGCTCTCGGGGGTTCCCTGCCTGCCTCTGGGACGTGGGTTCGGTCCGTGTCCTGGAAGCGTTTGCGAGCAGCTCCCGGTACGGGGGGCTCCTTGGGAAGCAGCTGCACTGGAACGGGTTCCCGCCCTCAGGCCCCCACCCACCCCCCTGCCCTCTCGCCCTGCAGGAGCTCAGCCCAGGTGATCGCCCTGAGAGAGGGCAGCACACATCTGGCCTAAAGCCGTCAAGACACGTGGAGGGGGGCGGCTAAGAAGAAAGAGGGGGCTTCCTGGAGGACCCCTCCGGCAGTGCAGCCTGGGCTCGGGGTCCTGTCCGCCATGCCCGGCCGGGAGAGTTCACCAGAAATGGGCTGGGGCTGGCCACGGAAGGCAGAGTGTTTTGAGTCCACCTGGAAGGGCCCCAGGTCAGCTGGGGGTTCTGTTTGCCTGCTCCCCGGGAGGTCCGAGCTCCTGGGCCTCGCGCCAGGCGGTTCCTGCTCCTTTGCCCTCGGCCCTTCCCACCTCGCCCGTCGGGCCTGCCGGCACTCCCTGCCAGCTGATCTGAGTTTTCCTGGAGCCGGCCCCAGCCCGCTAGCCTGTTCTGTCAGCCCTGGGCCAGCACAGGGGGCTCGGGTGCCCGGGACCCGCCTCAGCCTCCGCCTCTCAGAGCTCCTCCGGGCTGGACCCGAGGCACCATGGCTGCCCCACTCCCAGCTGCGTCGGGGACAGGGGGGCAGCTGAGCATGATTTTCCACTTTGTGTCCCCAATCAGACCTGCCTGACCAGTGCACGCCCAACCCCTGTGATAAGAAGGGGACCCAAGCCTGCCAAGACCTCATGGGCAACTTCTTCTGCCTGTGTAAAGCCGGCTGGGGGGGCCGGCTCTGTGACAGAGGTAAGACCCCCACAGCCACGTGAGGCTGAAGACAAAGGCAGGGTCTCCCTCCCTCTCCAACCCTGTCCTGATCCCCACTCCTCACTCCCACTCCGGGCACAGCCGTCCTCAGGCTACTCTCTGACAGCCCCAAGGCGGCTGCAGCCCTGAGGTATCCTGGAGCCCCAGAACTGGGAGGAGCTGCGGTCTCCTCTCTGGGAGCAGGGCTGGAATGAAAGGAAACGCCAGGTGGTGCCTCAGCGCCCACGACTGAAAGGCGGGGGAGAAATTTCACCTCTGACCGTCCTTGAGTGCAGACCTGTGGTATCAGTGAAGACCCTGGAGGAAGAATAGCTCCAGGGCCTGGTGGAGACCCATAGTGGAGAGTCCAGCAGGCCAGCCTGTCCCCTTTGGCAGGTCCCACCCCAGAGGTGACCTGGGAGAGCTTCACTCAGGAGTGGCCAGCTCTGGCCTGGCCTTGTCTGTCCTCAGGCACCCAGAGGTCACTCCTGGCCTGCAGCCTCTTCCTGCAAGCATGTGGGCATCCAGGGAGCTGAGCCCTGTGGCTGTGACTGCCAGCAGCTCCCCGGGCTGAGACCACAGCAGGGGATCCCCCGGTGACTGCCAGCAGCTCCCCGAGCTGAGACCACAGCCCTCCCATCATCACCTCCACACACAAGGCCAGGACCAGGGACCCTGAAACGATGGGGCTGCTGAGGGGGGTGTGAGGTCCGAGCCCTGGGGACCCTCCCTGCTCTAGATGGGGGCTGTGCACCCCTGGGCTCCCTCCCTGCTCCAGGGCTGGGCTGTGCCCCCCAGCCCTGGGGTCCCTTCCTGCTCTAGGGCTGGGATGTGCACCCCTGGGATCTCTCCCTGCCCTAGACGGGGACTCTGCACCCTTGGGCTCCCCTTCAGGCCTGTGCTTGTTCCCAGATGTCAATGAATGCAGCCAGGAGAACGGGGGCTGCCTCCAGATCTGCCACAACAAGCCGGGCAGCTTCCACTGTGCCTGCCACAGCGGCTTCCAGCTCTCCTCTGACGGCAGGACCTGCCAAGGTAAGGCCCTCGGGTGAGGCCTCTCTCCTCTCCCCACCTTCTATTTTTGGTCACATCTGCGCTTCTGCAAGAGGCTGCTGCTGGCTGGGTTCCTGTGGTTCTGGACGGGATGGGGCATCCTGCAGAGACTGCACAAGCCCAGGCGAGCCGCAGCACAGGGAGCTACTCGGCACCACATCAGGATGACTCACCCGGCATCTGAGGGCCAGAACTCAGAGGCCACACTGCTGGCTGCAGGGCCTCGTCCCGTCCCCAGAGCCTCGCAGAGCCTGGGAGTGCTCCAGGCTGTTGTGCAGTGAGCTTGTGGGTCAGAGTTCCAGGCTAGGGTCCCCGCTGCCGTCCACTCTCCCCAGCGTCCCCAGAAGCACCCTGTTGTTGGTCTCCCTC